CCCACGCACACCCCGCCGCAGCCGCCACCAGCTGCAAGCAAGCCCGGTTCGCCGCTGTGCAAGCACGCGCGCGGCGCTCGGGGCCACCCCACCCCCGCCACCCGCGGCCCCTCCACCCACCGCGTCATGACCTCGCTGAGCGGCGTCATGCGGTCGTTGACAAAATCGACGTCGCGCGTAGTCACGATGCCCAGCAGCCGGCCGCCCACCTCCCCGGTGTCGGTGATGCAGGCGCTAGTGAAGCCGCGCGCGGTCTAGCGGGTAGGATGAGGGATCGCGGGCAGCACGGGGGCGGTGATCGGGCGTCATGCATGACGCGGCATGACGCCGGCTGGTGACGCGGCGTAGTACAGCGCGGGGTGGGGATGACTGATGCGAGCGGAACCCGCAAGGCATGCCGTAAGCAGCCTCAGGGTTCGCTGACCATGTCACGAGCTGCAGGCGCCTCCCGAAGCGCACGTGCGCCCGCACACGCACCGACAAGCGCGCGCACACACCCGCGCGAGCGCACACATGCCCCCGGCTCCCACGGCGGCCAGGCGCCGCCGCTGCCTGCGCTGCCCCTGCAGACCCACAACCCGCCTCTTCAGATTCTCAATGGCCCGCGAGGCCCACCTGCAGCTTCTCAATGTCTCCGACCGTGGCCATTGGCGGCAGCACCGCGGGCGTCACCACAAACCCGGGGATGTGGCGCTTCACCTTGAGCACGTGGTTCAGCTGCTCCTTCACAGTGTTGTTGTAGTGGATGAACCCCATGCCGCCGAGCTGCGAGAGGGGGGCGGGAACGCACGGAGCGCGCGCCGTTTGGCGGCGGCCCGGGCGGCGGCAGGGCTGGGGCGGGGCGAGCAGAACTTGGGGGCATCAACCACGGCAGACGACGGTGCAGGCTCGGCGTCCATTCGGTGCCGTGGTAAACGTGGCTTTGCAGAACTCAGAGGCGTGACTGCGAGGCCACGGCGCTCGCCGTGGCTTGGGCGGGCGCCGTGCCATCCGTCCGCCGGGCGGGCCGCGCACCCCGCACGCCGTGTGCGGGTCGCCGCGCGCCCACCCACCGAGGCCATCGCCACCGCCATTTCAGACTCGGTGACCGTGTCCATGGGCGAGCTGACAATGGGGATCTGCAGCTGGATGTTGCGGGTGACGCTGGTGGCCAGGCTGACCTGCGGGGTGTGGGAAGGGTTTGAGGGGAGCCGCCGCCACGTCAGCGCCCAGCAGCGCCGAGGGGAGGTGACGCGCGGTCGGCGCGGGGGCGCGGCGGCGACGGGAAGCGGGATGCAAGGGGCTCATGTGAGGGCGGGGCGTGGCAGGGGTGCAGCATCCTGCCAGGGGCTGGTGCAGGCGGGATCCGCCGGCGCCGGAAATCGCTACCCATTGCTGACGCCGGCCCGGCCAAGGCAACGCCAGCCCAGCGCCAGCCGGGATTCTCCCCACCTCGTGGGCTCCGAAGTAGATGTGACCCGGGTGCATGATCACATCATCATACGTGTAGCTGTACCCCTTCCCAAACAGCTCGCCGGCTGCGAAGCCTGTGGCGGGGGCGTGCACCGCGGAGTGGGATTTGGCGGCCGACACACCACAGCCGGCGGCGGAGCAAAGGATGGAGCGCGCTTCACCCCGTGACGCCCACCATCGTGATCCGCGAAGACGCCGTTCTGCACGTCCGTGGGCGACATGCTTGCAGCACGCCGTGAGGGCGCGGAGAAACTCGGGACAGCTGGAGGCGGGAGCGGACCAGCGCTCGATGAAGGAGTGCGACCACTGTGCAATATTTGGTCGTCTCAAACGCTATGGACAAGGGAGAACACGTGCCTGAGGTGGCGCCTCCCTTGCTTCTGTTTGGTCTACACCGCAACGGTTCGAAACGCCCATTGCCCAAAAGTTATCATCAGATGAGTTGGAGTGGATGCAAGCCGTACGTCTGAGCCGATCAGGGACAACACTATCACACTGATCTGATCCAAATATCGCTCTTCCGCACACAAGCCATCAAGTTGTCAATCTTATAAAAGCATTCATCAGACTGTTTTACAGCCACTTCACCCCACAGCACGGCAAGCGGCGGTGAACTCGTGCTGCACCAGCAAAGCGCGCCACTTCTCTTCCGCCCCAGCTGATAGTCACCTGCGCCGGCGCAGGCCCCCTTGCGCCGGCGCCATGCCGCCAAGGGCTCGCAACTCTGCCGGTGGCACACTCGCCATGCGGCCGCCGTCGGGCTCTCAACGGAGCCCTACAAAGGTGGCCCGTCAGCAGCAGCAGCAGCAGCAGCAGCAGCAGCAGCCAGAGCAGCAGGATGTCCTCTACAACCCCACCAACTGGAAGAACAACTTCCAGGTCGTGTATTACCTGTGAGTTGGAAGACGTGGGGGCATTAATCCGTGCTCTTCAGACCAGATGGACCACAGCAGACAGCCACATCAGCTGCGGCGGCGCAGTCGTGAACGCAAAGCTGCCGCCGTGGCGTACACCAGCGCAGTGGCACGCCAGCGGGCAGCAGGCCGCCGAAATGCCGGCGGCAGTGATCCAGACGGGCGGTGATCCGCGCGCCGCAGCTTTCAAGAGGCGGTCGCTGAGAAGGGAGGGTTTTTGCAAGAGCGATTGCTCTTGCCCACCCAAGGGCCCCTTTGAGCCCCCGCCGGGCGCTGTCCACTCGCCGGGCGCCCTCGCAGGCGCACGTACATGACCATCGTGGCCGGCCTGGTGGCGGGGATCCTCGGTATCACCGATTGGCTGGGATTTGTCGTGTACCTTGTCAGCCAAGCGCTGGTGAGCGCACGGCCGGGCGGGAGGAGGGCGGCCCCAGCGCGCCCAGAGGGTGACGGGGCCGGGCGAAGGGCCCGGCAGCGCGTGCGCGGCAATCCTCCTTTCGGCCCGAGTATGTGTCTGCCCCTGCTGCCGCGGTGCCACCTGACACCGGCTAGGCTTGGCGTCATTGGCGCCAGGGGCCGGCGCAACGCGCAGGCTGCCTGGGAGGCAGGCGGGCGGACGCGCCTTGCAGGCGCGCCTCGACTGCTCAAGATTCGCAATCCCCCGTCCCCGCTCCCCCCGGGCGCTCGCCCTGCCCAGTGCGTGCCTCTCATTTTGGTCAAGTGCGGCGGCAACGTCAAAAAGTACTTCCCGTCGTGGTGGGTGCCGCGCACTCGCAGCGGGCGCTTGCAGCAGAGGCTTGGTGCAGCTCGCCCACACGCTGGTGTATTCTCAAAGTTGCAGCTCCCCCGCAGCTTGCCTGTGCCAGCACTCCCCCCTGGACTCACCAGGGCGTGCGCAGCTGGCGCGACTCGCTTGCTCACACTAACAACACGCCGCTGCACAAACGCACCAAGCCTGCCAAACCGCTGCCCTCTGAACGCCACACCACGACAGGGACAAAGTGGTCCTGGAGCACGTGTTCTCATCGACGGCCATCTTGTCGTATGTGCTGTGCTGGATGATAGGGTACAACCTCGCATACGTCTTCTAGCATGTAGTGTACACTCGCGCACCCACTTGTAACAAGGTTTTCCAGTGTAGACCGGCAAGGCTATTTTTTGCATCCAGCGAAGGTCGGACAAAGGTCATCAGCCATAGAGGTTTGTTGCGACGCGGGTCCAGATGCAAAATCGGGCGGGAACTTATTGCGGGTTGTGCTGCTCGCGATGCATCTCTCTGCCATGTTCGCAGTGAAGAAAACGATCCGCAAGGTTGCTTGGGGCGGCATGGCGGCGTCGTGAACCGCGTGCCGCTGATGCACGCCTGTACCTGGCGTTTGCGACGTTCGCGCTATGTGTACAGTCCAGCTATCTATGGTAATAAGCTATATTATTACTCAGCTGCTTATACAACAACCCCCCGAGACAACAACTGATCTACTACCGTATTTCACGTCGACGGTCAACCTCAAAGCCTCATTGAGCGCGCGACACTGTCAATAGCCTCGAAGCACTCAAATCCAACTCAGAGCGATGAGGGCTGCCTTGCCGATGCGCTGTGGTGCCCGGAGAGCGGCGATGTCAGCTGCACCAGGTGAGTGCACGCCTCTGCTGTGTGCACAGGCTGCCCATCGGTTGCTCAGAGAGCAATGCTCTTAGCCTTTAAGCCCTGTCCTATCATCACGATACCCCGCCCGTTCCTCGAACCGTAGCGCGTCTAGCGGCGCTCAAGCAGCATCGGCCCCTCACGCGGCGCGCCGCTGCTGCGCCTGCCGTGTTGGGGGTGCTCGACAGCGAGCAGCAGATTGCGGCTGAGATCCTGGAAAGGGAGGCGCAGCTTGCGGCCATGTTCGAGCGCCGTCCGCTGCCGAAGGTGACCGAGCGCATGGCCGGGTAGCACAGGCAGCAGTGGGTGTTCTCACTTCGGTAGTGCCTCTGCCCAAGTTCTATGCATCCCATTCCGCACCCATCTCTTTCCCCATGCTCCGCTGCCTTCAACCCCCTCTCCCCCCTCTCAAACCGTCCCCTGTACCCCAGGCTAGCGAGGTGGCGGTGATCCGAAACGAGATCAACGCTCTCAAGGCGTCCCTGCCCGCCCGCTCCGCCTCCCCGCCCATTGCGCCGGGCGAGCCGGTGCCAGCGGTGCGCGGGGCGCCGCGCAAGGCGGACCGAGAGCTGGCAGCGCGCGTCATGGCGGAGGTGCGGGCGGCTGGCATGGGTTGTGGGGCGGGGCCGCGGTGCAAGGTTGGCCTGGGCTGCCGGGCGCGCGCGGCTCTGTTTGAGCACGGGCGCGGCTGCGTGCGAGCTCCTGAGTGACGAATCGTGCACCCCTTGTCCGGCCCTCCAAGCCCACACTGCTCGCTTCTTTGACCACGTTTTGCGCTCACCCTGCACAACATGCTAACCACACCCCCAAAAACCCGACCCCGCGCAGCTGGAGGCCGCGATGAGCGGCGGCGGCGCCCTGGGCAACTCGGAGGACGCCGAGATAGCGGCCCTAGAGGCGGAGAACACCGCGCTGCGCGCCGACGCGCACGCGCTGCTGCAGCACCAGGCGCTGCTGGAGCGGCTGCTGGCGGAGGCGCGGGCGGCTGACGCGGAGCGGCGGCGCGTGGAGGCTGAGGCGGCGGAGTTGCTGGGGCGGATGAGGGCGAAGCTCACGGGGGGTGGGGCGGCCGCGGACGCGGCGTGAGCCGGGGGGCGCCTCGCTGGCGGCGCGGGCGGGGTCGCGCGGTGCGTCAAGCTCCGCGGCGGCGCAGGGATGGGGGGTTTTCGCATAGCTGCCTCTCGATAAGCAGGCGGCCGCCGTGAAGCGCGTGTGCTTACGAGTGCTGCGTTGAGGTCACCATCAGGTAGTGGGGCCTTGGTTGGGGTGCGTCGCGGCCTATCCGTGCCGCGGGCTCTGCACCTGGCTGCTCGCCCTCGCAGTGGCCAGCTGTGTGCTCCAGGGGTCATGGCCGGGAGCCGGGCGCTGCCCGTGCTCGGGTATGGCCGACCCAAAGTCAACAGTGAGGAGACCCAAAGTCAAACGCGCCCTGCTTTTTCCTTGGACAAGCCAATCAACAAGACCATATGTGTGGGTAGAGTAGAATGACTTTCAATCTGCACATGTGCTTGCAAACATCCATCCACTGTAAATTGTTGTCCTCAAAATAACCGAGTCAGCCTGCGGGCGGTGGTCAGCCTGGTGTCAGCCCAAGCCGCGGATTTGCGGGACTACTGCATCCCTGCAGCAGATCCCATCCTTGAGACAGCGTGTCACCCTGAAATTGCTTTGCTGAGCTCTTTCTGTGATTTTATGTTTTTTGAGTTTGAGACTGCAATGGTGTGGTGTTCAGGTCCCCAAGCACTACTTTCGTCGCATTACGCACCAAGTCAGGTGGGGCCAACGGGTTACTTTGCTGGCCGGGTGAGGCACCCCAGCACGCAATCACAGCTGGGACGCAGAAGCGAATTCTGCAAAGGCCATCCAGCTGCTTTGACGGTCCTGGTGAAGCAGACCCCGCAAGCCCGTCCTTTCGGCGCATGGACGGGCTTTTCAGGCATCGGCGCGCCTCTACTTGAGCTTGGCGACGGCAAACCGCGCTTTTGATACATTGCAATACGACCAAAAGGCTCTGGCAGCGATCTGGGATTTTTTCACAGCCTGCATCAGGGCGACGGCCCTAGCATGACGCGAAAAGGCGGCAGAGCGTCTTTTGTATGCTCAGGGAGTACAGCTTCCTTTCGTGGGCCAGGTCGAGAACGGGAAAAGGAGTCTTTTGTTGCGACAGATTTCAGCCTCCCGGCTCTTGGGGCCGTCCGTCGAGCAAGGGCGCAGTCATGGCAGCGCGAATGTGGTCAGCCACCCCTTGCCAGTGCCTCGCTAGGCCTCGCTGGCGCTCTTCGGTGAGCGCCATCGCCTCGCCTGGATCCCGGCACCGCCGTCGTTTTCCCCCTCGCCCCAGCACGCCCGTCTGCCCCCGACCTTCTTCCTGGCCATTTATCCAGCGTCTGCAAGTTAAAGATGCCGCCGAGATGGCCCGACCACGCACGCACGCGCTGATCTCGCCCCCAACACTGCCCCCTCGTCCGTCGTCGCCTGCCGCGGCCGTCACCACCCAGGTGGCGTGTCAACCCCCTAGAGGGCTCCATCCGCCGTATGTTCCTCAACATAGACACTGGTGGCAAGGTGGGGGGCACTGAATCCTGCGCCCCTCGCCTCTTCGATGGGTGTCCATACTTACTGCGCTGACCCCGGCCGCGGCCAGCGTGATCAGCAAAACGCCCGGCCGCCTCCTGGCAGCTCCGCCCTGCCTCTGCTGACCCGCTTCCCGCCAGCGATCAAAGCCCGCGCACGCGACCTCACACAAACAGGGGCACATAACAGAGTCAGACCTGCGGCAGTATGCTGCGGCCCAAGGGCTGCCGGCCACCTATGTTGGGCCGTTCATGGACGCATTGAAAGCGGACCCGGGGTCCGAGGGGCAGAGCGGCGGCGGCAGCGAGGGGGGCAGCGGCAGCGGCGGCGGCGCGGCAGGGGAGGTCGGATTCAGGCGCTTCCGGAGGTGAGAGGGCTCGAGCGGCTGGCTGGCGGTGTGTGCATGGGTGTGTGTGTGTGCGGGGAGGGTGAGTGGGTGCGTGGGTGCGCATGTAGGCATTGGGGAGTGGAATCGTGAGTGCATGTGCGCGCGCGTGTGCGCTGATGTGTGTGCGTATGCATGGGCGCGCATACGTGCGCGTGCAGGCGTACGCGTATTCATGCGGCGCACAATGCGCGCCTCACCGCATCGCCCGGATACTGCCGCTTGTTTTCCGGTCTCTCGACGGAGGCCGCCAATTCCACCGGCTGCCGCCGCCACGCGCCCGCCCGCCCCCGCAGCTTCGCGCTGGCTCGCGAGGAGGGCCTCAGGGAGGCCTTTGACATGTTCGACAGGGGTGAGGCGCCGATCCCGACTTTGCCCGACTGATCAGCCCATGCAACGACGCGCGGCGCCTTGTTGAGGACGGGGACGGCAGCCGCACCCGCTCGGTGCCTGCGCTGTCGCAGTTTGGCCCGACCCTTGCACTTCCGCCCTGCCTGCTCCTTTTGATCCTCTCGTCCCCTCCACGCGGTCACCGGTGATGTCCACCGTGACATCCGCTTCCCCCAGCGACCTCGCTGCGCGTGTTTGCCCCCCTCTTCCCCCCACCCCCAAAAATATTCAAACGCTGCCCTCCAACAGACCGTGACGGCGTGATCAGCTACGAGGACCTGGACCTGTCCCTGCAGCACGTGACCATCTGCTGCCCCAACACGCGCTGCGTGCTGCGGTGCCGGCAGCAGGTGGTTGGGGAGCTGCTGCGGCGGCTGGACACGGACGGGTCGAGGGACGTCAGCTTTGACGAGTTCAGGAACTACTTCTCGCTGCTACCGCAGGTGAGGGTTGGCGCACGCATGCGTGCGCGCTCTCTCTCTCTCTCTCGCGCGCGCATGTGTGTGTGTGTGTGTGTGTGTGTGTGTGTCCGACAGAGAGGGATAGAGGGTGGGGATTGATGTCTGTGTGTGTGTGTGTGTGTGTGTGCGCGCGTGTGCGTGCGTGCACGCGTGGATGTGTTTTAGGGGAATCCGTACGGGTGCGCGTACGTGTGTTCTCATCTTACCTTGCTGGTCTCCAACAGGTGGTACATCCCATGCTGCAATTGGCACACACCACCACCAGCATACACACACACAGACAGACACGGTACACACACATGTGTATATATATATGTGTGTTGTGTGTATATGTAAATATATGAATCCATACAAATGCACACACGTCACACAAAACCACAGGCGCGCGCGCCTGCCCCCACACCTCTTGACACATGCCCACTCCCCCACCCATCCACCCACAGAATGACGCCTCCATGCTTGTGGAGTACTGGCTGGGCGCATCCTCATCCGGCAGCTGCGCGGACATGGGCACGCGCGTGGCCGTGCAGGAGGGCCAGCGGAGGGGCTCCCCCTGGGGTGAGCGCGGCGGGGGGCGGCGCGGCGCTTGCTCCTCCGCCGAACCAGGCCCCTGCATCAGGAGAGCCGCCAGAGAGAGAGTATATGTAAGACTTTATATGTATGCACATGTGTATTAATGTTTTGGCACTATGGGCCCACGCCACAAGCCGCAGCAGGCTGGCCTCCTTGCCACCACCTCACCCTCCTTGGATCATGTGACGAGGGATGCTGCTGCCGCCCCCTGCCCCCGCCCCTGCCCCGCAGGCCACCTGTTTGCCGGCGCCGTCTCCGGGGCCGCCAGCCGCACCGCCACCGCGCCGCTGGAGACGCTGCGGCTCGCGGCCATGGCGGGCGGCGTGCCCGCAGGGGCGCGCATGGACTTGATGGCCGCGGAGATTGTGAGGAGCCACGGGTGGCGCGCCCTGTATAAGGGTGGGTGGTGGGGTGAGGGGTGCGGGGCGTGGAGGCTGGTTGGTGGAGGGTGGGCGGTGTGGGTATGGGGGGTCGAGGGTTTGTGGGTTTGTGGGTGGGGGAGGGCTTCTGGTCGAGGTGGGGCTGAGTAAGCAGCTTCTGGGCAGGGGTTGGGGATCGGCCCGGTCGGCGCCCACAGAGGGCTTCAAGCCTCTGCAGCGGTCAGCCTCTGCCCCGGCCAGCCCGAGCAGCACAGGCTTGGGCGTGGGGCTCCGCCGCCGTCCTGTGTGACCCACCTTCTTCCCTGCAATGTACCACCCTGAAGCCCCACACTCTGACCAGAGGCCCCGATCCGCTCCCACCCCCAACCAAACCCTCCGCGGCTGGTGCGGCTTCAGGCAACGGCATCAATGTGATGCGCTCCGCGCCGCAAAAGGCGCTCGATTTCTTCAACTTTGACCTCTACAAGGCCCTCCTCTCCCGCGGCAGCGCGGCGGGCGCGACGCTGCATCAGACCTTTCTGGCCGCCGGCCTGGCGGGCGCCACCAGCTGCCTGCTGCTGTACCCTTTGGATGTGAGGCTTGGGGCCGCCGGCGGGGGTTCCCCGGTTGCAGGCGGGGGTGGGGGCTGTCCGAACGCAGGCGGGGTTGGAGCCGCCGCTGGGTCGGCCAGGTAGCTGCCGCCTCACCTTAACCCACAGGTTTTTAACCAGGGGGGAGCCTCCGCAGCGCAGGGCCTGCACGCACGCCGTCAGCCGCGACTCGCAGCGGCCCGGCGCGCGAGAACCCCCATCCTAACCACCGCCGCCGCCGCGCGCACGTCGGCTGCGCCCCGCAGGTCGCACGCATGCGGCTAACGCTGGACACGGCGGGCCGCTACCGCGGTCTGGCGCACTGCCTGCGGACGCTGGTTGCGACCGAGGGCATGTGCGCGCTCTGGCGGGGGCTCGGGCCGAGCCTGGCGGCCATCTTCCCAGAGGCCGCCATCACCTACGGTGCGCGCGCGCATGGATTGTGGGGCACGCCGCGCGCCCAAGCTTCTCGCCTGGCACGCCCCACGGCAGGCGCGGCCCGGCCCTTCGGTCTGCTGCCGCCCGCCGCACCCCTGCGGCACCGCCGGCTTGCGAGTTGCCATGTTTGGTAGGATCGCTACGATTGTTTGCTGCCTGATGAAGCGTGGGTGAGCCTCTGAACTTGCCGTAGATATCAAGGGTCAAGGACCTGAAACAGCAATGGTGCCTGATGGCTGGCAGAGGGTGAGTACATGTGACATCACCGGCCGCAAACCGCCCTCTCCCCCCAGGCCTCCACGACCTGCTGAAGCGGAACTACAAGCGGCTGCGCCACGAGGAGCCCGGCATCGGCGCCAGCCTGGCGGCCGGCGTCGCCTCCGCCAGCATGGGCCAGGTGCGCACGCTGACATGGCGCCGCGGCCCAGCCGCGGAGCAGCTACGGGACGCGCCCGCCTGCGCGCCCGCCTGCGCCCCACTGCGATCGACGCAGGGCTGTGCGCCCAACAAGGCACGCGCGCGACCACGCCGCTCTGCGGACCCCCAATCGTAGCCGAACGGATTCGCTTGGCACTTCTGACAGTGACACCGCTGCCAGGAAGCGTGCGTCCTTGCC